AGGCTACGTTAGGCATGTACAAAGGGTCTGGCATGTGCCAAGCACGTAACTGGGCACTAAGTAAATGCCACCTCCCTTCACAACTTCTCCTGACCCTCTACACATTGAACAGAGATGTCAGCACCACAGATAACTGCCGTATTCTTCATCAGACTGGGAAATTCCCCTAGGACAGACAGTATTTCTGATTCATCTTTGGATTCCAATACTCAGAAGGGGCCTGGGCCAGAATAAAAACAAAATAAATGCTGTTCAATAGAGAAAATGAGAATTCTTTGGGTTTGAGGATGTTCATATTATCTCAGCCACAGTCAAAGAAAATCCTGATTTTTCAAGTTGGCCAAATAGGAGCTTGCTACGAGCTACTATGTAGTTCAAAGCAAACAAGCTTTTCTGAATTCTAATGATTACATTCTCTAAAATATAAAAACCCAATTGCCCTGCAGCTCTCAATTTTAGTTTTGAGAATTCAATTCTTTCCTAAACAATAGAGTGGGTAACCACAGACACTTGTGGAATCTCTTTTCCTAGAAAACATGAAGAACAGGAGAGAAGCCAGTCTTTCTGGAAATTGCTTGAAAATCTAACTATAAGCAGGATGCTGGACTGGATTAGATGGCCCTGGGAGAATCCTTCCAGACCTACACCACTGAAATGTGAAGAAAAATAACTGAAATAATTATCTGTCATTTATACCCAGGAAAATAAAATAAATACAATTTAACATCTCCTGACAGAGTCACTGGAAATAATTTTACTTGGTCTTGTGATGCTTTTACAACAATTTTCTTCTTAAATTGTACCAAACTACCCCTAAGCTATTAGTTTGAATATAAGCACTCTATAATAAGACAGAATAGATATTGTACTTCACAGCACAGTAAACAAGATGACTACTCTTTTGTCTTTTTAAGTCTGTTGGTCTGCTTGTACTGCAAATCTACTCATCCCCAATGCCTTATGAGAAACACAACTTCCTCCCTCAAGTACTCACTCAGTTCTCCCATTTATAAACTTCTAGTGCATGCCTTACTCACATCGTATTGTGCAGCTGATTATTATACGGTGTCTTCTATTTTTATCTGATTCACAAGTAACAATCTTCATCTCCCTAGCTGAAATGTTAGCTCCATGAGTAAAGTCCAGGTTTTATAATCCTCAAGTACTCCTCTATCATGTCAATATTGAGTTCATGGTAAGTGTTGTCAAGTTCTAATTGGCTCACTGCCTTAAAATGCAGGGAGTGCACAAAAGCTATACAACACTCTGGACACCAAGCAGCTGTATAAAGTTTTGGCAAAGCAGACACTCCAAGAAGTCAAAAGTAAAGCTTTTCAGATTGCTATAAATTGACATTTGTCACTTAGCTGGGACTAGCTCAGGTGAAGGTTAATACACACAGGAGCTAAAGGGAAAAACCTGGAGCTGATGACCACAATGGTTTGGCTTCCGCCATGTAAGAAACAAGAAGTTGTCAAAGTGAGCCCACTCACATATAGAGGGAGACTGGTTTTTTGTTTTTTGATTTTTAATCATAGTGTCACTCTGTCGTCCAGGCTGCAGTGCAATGGCATGCTCACAGCCACTGCAGCCTTGACCTGCTGGGCTCAGGAGATCCTTCCGTCTCAGTCTTCCAAGTAGCTGGAACAACAGGTGCACATCACCACATCTGGCTAATTTTTTTTGATTTATTGTAGAAATGAGGTCTTGGCAAGCTGTCTAGGCTGGTCTCGAACCCCTGGACTTGGGCAATCCTCTTGCCTCCACCTCTCAAAGTGCAGGGATTACAGGTGTGAACCACCACGCCTGGCTAGGGGGACTATTTTAGAATGCACAAAATATTTCCCAGGTCACAGAACTTTGCTGGTTCTGATTTTACACAGGATCAAATATTCATTCTATCAGGCTGAGTCAGTCAGGAAGCAATAAACAGAAAGAAAAAGGTTAAAACCCATAAAAATGTAATAACTATTTAAAACATACACAAGTAAAACTTGTGTTTTTTCATTCTTAATCCAAAGAACACATCTAAACAAGACTGATGGGCTCTAAAATTCAAGCATCTCATGTACACTCTACAGACTTACAACAGTTAGGCAGATGTTCCACTGTTTTCTTTACATGTGAAATGGGAACATCTTTTACCCCCATAGTGTGACAGGTACTTTTCTGGACCCTGGGAATCCAGTATTTTACCAAACTCACAAATCCTGTAACATATGTAAAGCCTTAGCTTAGTATTTTACAGAGGAAAAAGGCCTCAGGGACAGCCCAAACCTCTAATTATACAGAGGAGAAAACCAAGGCCCAGAGATGTTAACTCCCTTTTCTCAGTTGGTTATCATGGTTATATGACAACAGAGACAGGAGTAGAAACCTGATTTCTTATTTCTCCTCCAGTAACAAAATGTACTTTTCATCAAGCCATTATTTCTACATGCTGGACACTATGCTAGGTACTAGGTGCCCAAAAATGAATAAGATACTGACCCTGTCCTCAAAAAGCACAGTCTTGAAAGCAAGACAATTGGACAAATACAATCACAGAAGCAGTAAGAGAGAAAAAAGCACACTATGTCTCTAATAACCTGGACTTTCAATATCTTTTAAAAAAGGAACTTCTAATAGTTTGCTTTAACCTTGCAAAAGCCCTATGAGTACAGAGCAGATATCTTCTTATTCCTGTTACATGGATGGAGAAACTGAAGTACAGAGCGGATAAGGGAGTTTATTAAGGTCATCTCCAGTGGCAGCAAAATGCCTAGAAACCAAGTTTGTTTACTCCAAGATAGACATTTTTTTCCCACTAGATGGAAAAAGCAGATGTTCTTTTTATGTCCAGTTCCCTTCTGACCAAGATTGTGTGCAGGACAATCTGTGGTTGTGAAAGGAAACTTAAATGACTTGTGAGGTGTCATCAGCTGAGGTTAGTCATTTGATGGTTAAGTAACCAATGAGACATCATTAATACTCAATTCTTAAGTGCCCGTTATATACACAGAAGAGATGAAAAAGGTGCTGCCCTCAGGGAGTTAATATTGTAGGGAACAAAATTATAAATATTTCAACAAAAAGTGACGTAATTAAATAAACTGCAACTGGAAGAACCATCACAAACAACTGGAAATTTAGGACACTAAAGGTTTTGCAGAGCAAATCTAACAGTAGCTGCCAAGTAATATACTCTTCAAGGGTTAAACAGAGAACAGAAGCCGTGTGGAACACATCAATGTTCTTCAGATAAAGGGTCTCACCAAAATGTTGATCACATAAAAAAAAAAAACTAACAGCCTATATCCTTCATTTCACTTTTTAACTTTACTCAAAAATAATTATACAAATATCCCACTTCCTTCTTTCTAGGAAACTTACATATTTTGTAATCTTTCCTATCTAAGGGGAATAGATTTATAATAGAAGTTTCCCTCAGTGTGACTTTGTCAAAAAGATTAAAACTATATGGAATCATTGCCCTATACTTCCACCCTTCTTTAGATGCAACCTAAGTGAAATGAATCTGATCATTTTCTCCTATACATAGAAAATTTGTATATACATCCAAGAATCACTTCATGAGAGCTAAAAATATAATTCATTTTCAAATTAAGTTTTAAACATTATTTATTTCACTTGTTTGATGACTTACTAACATATTGTATTTACATCACTATTTAGCATGACCTCTTAACATGACCCAACTGTTTTAAACTATAGCATATTGTAGAATTATTAACCAAATGGACAGTGCTAAGGAGAGATAAATATTAGTGATTTCAAATTACTGGCAGGAAGAATTTCTTTAGGACTAGGCTAAAAACTAAAAATTATGATCATCCTTCCAAAAGAGTGATGTTTGTTCTATTTATTTAAAAAATACTATTCAGGAAAGAAAGAAAAAAGGGTCAAAAAAACCTCTCTGGTGTTTCCTGAACATACTCAATACCCAGGGGATTCTACTCACAGTCAGTTATCTTCCTTTTAAATACCTGGTGAATTTTATAGGGTGATAAGCAGCAACTTAAATGGCAATTCAGAACTACTACAGTAGGTTTCATTAGAATTACCATCAGTATGTCAAAACATGATTTCATGATATTTTTAAATTCCTAAGATTCAGTTCAATCACAAAAAAATACATTTTAATAAACAACAGCTTAAAACTTACACTTGAAGTTTGATGATGTTTTTAGGTAGGAGAAGAGCAGGGCCTGAATCTCTAGACCCTCAAGAGAAAGACCATGGGCTAAAGTGGATCCTAAATGAAGTCAAGGAAGTAATTAAGCATGCAGCGACAGTGACATCTAGTGTTAACAACTGCACGCCAATCAGACTACAGAACTAGTAAATCCTCTTAAGTGCCAAAGAATAACTATTCAAAGTTTCTTTTCTTTAAAAATAAACAGAACTTGTGCATTTCAGTAGATCTAAAAATTACCCGTAATCAAAATGGTTCCATAGGTTTCCTTCAAGACATTACAAAACCCTTGTTAAGAGAAAAACGATTTTGAGTAAACATGAAATGAAAAGACCAAAATGTCAAAAGCACTGCTTACTCCTTGTGGTCAACATGTGTACTGCTCCGCTTAGTACCAGAGCATAATGCAAAGGTAATCTGGGACATGTTCTTGAGAGTATTGTCAACATCTAAACTTCTACCCACAAAATAAAAGATACGGCACAAGCCAGGACTGGAGGACACACCAAGAAAAAGAAATTTAGGACAATTCATGATTGAAGAAGATGCAAAGGAAACACAAAACAGGCTCTACAGTTTAGCCTTGCTATCTTGCAAGATTTTTGTTACTTTGAGAGGTTCACTTATTCAACAGCTGATATTTTTGCCCAAGGATTCAGAATTTGGCATCATAGGTTAATTCACTATAGTATTTTCATAGTTTTATGCTCTAGATGAATCTATAAAAGCAAGCACAATTTCAAAAATTATTCTTGGCCAGGACAATACTGTGTAAGAAGCAAAGTTAGCATTAGATGGAACTTACCTATTTGTTTTGGAAAGGTCGTCCTTTCCCCTTTTAACTCCAAAAATTCTTGTGATCAAGGTACTAAAGAGAAGTGTGGATGAATTTCTCACCTATTGTAAAAATAAACACACAATAAGGGTTAAAAATAGTCATAGCATGAAACAAACATTTACAATGTTCAAACTATATATTCAAGATCATTATCCTACTGGCTAACATGAAGGTAAAGTAAATAGGTGTGTGTTCATAAAATGAGATAACTTTCCAAAAAAAATCTTTATAGCAACTGACTCAGTGACTTCCCCTTAAACTGAACTCTACAATGCAACACAGGCTTTTCCTATATTTCTAACATTACCATCAATTGTTTTTATTATGTCTTTGCACTCGTATCATCAAATAACACTGCTTTTCTTAAAAAACTCATTTTTCTATAACCTTCCAGACAATGAATATCCCCGCTTTTTCCACTTATTTTCTGTAATCATTTACCCATGAGTAAATACTTATAAAACCTAACTTCAAAGAGCTGGGCACAGTGACTTGCACCTGTAATCCCAGTTACTTGGGAGACTGGAGGAAGGATCACTTGAGGTCAGGAGTTTGAGAACAGCCAGGACAACATAGCAAGACATCCCCACCCCGTCTTTAAAAATAAAATAAGATAAAATAATTAGCTGGGTATGGTGGCATGTACCTGTAGTTCCAGCTACTCAAGAAGCTGAGGTGGAGGATTGCTTAAGCCCAGGTATTTGAGGCTGCATTGAGCTATGATCATGCCACTGCTCTCTAGTCTAGGTGGGTGACAGAGCATGACCCCATCTCTTCAAAAAAAAAAACCAAGCAAAACAAGCAGAGCCGGGCTCAGTGGCTCAGCCTGTAATCCCAGCACTTTGGGAGACTGATGCAAGTGGATTGCCTGAGCCTGCGAATTCAAGACCTGCCCCCGACTTGGCGATACTTCATCTCTATGATAAAAAATAAATTGGCCAGACGTGGCAGCGCGCGCCTGTAGGTCTGGCTACTTGGAAGGCAGAGGTGGAAGGATTGCCGGAGCTCAGCAGGTCGATGTTGGGGTGGTAGTGAGTGTGCCACTGCGTAGGCGACAGAGTGAGACTCCAATTCAAAAAAAAAAAAAAAAGAATACAATAAAATATATATTTGGAAAAAAGAAGAACCCTAACTTCAAAAATATCAATGAAATTACTATGGATACAGTTAGTATCCAAAATGTTGTTCATTACCTCACAATGCCAATAAACTAATCAAGTAAGTTTCCCTAAATTTTGAGATAACTGATTAATAAAAATAAGAGAGGCAAGAGTTGTCACGAATAAAGATGAATCCCTTCTCCAAGATGATAATAATAGAGTATACCTTTTTAAAATTTCATAAAAAATGACTTGACTGTGCTAGCATTTTTGGGCTTTCTCAACTACTTTGCCAAACCACAGCAGAGATGTGTAAGTATGTACTGACTTCTCTCTCATCTGTAAGACTCTATACCAGCACCATGGAGAATATACAGAAACAGAGGGCACACACTTACTGCTGTCAAAAACTTTATATTCTAATTAGTATCATAACCATAACCATATGGTATGTTCAATAGCAATACAGGTAGAATGGTCATTAAAAGTAGCAATGTAGCCAGGCATGGTGGCTCATGCCTATAATCCCAGCACTTGGGAGGCAGAGGCAAAGGCAAGAGGATTGCTTAAGCCCACAGGTTCAGGACCAGCCAGGGCAACATGGCGAGACCTCGTCTCTACAATATATCAAAAAATTAGCTGGGCTTGGTGGCGCATGCCTATGGTTCCAACTACTTGGAAGATGAGGTGGAAGGATCATCTGAGCCCAGCAGGTCGAGGCTGCAGTGGCCATGAGTGTGCTACTGCACTCTTGCCTGGGAGACAGAGTGAGACTCCAACTCAAAAAAAAAAGTAGTAATATAAGATTTAGAAAACATGTAAGATTTAGTGCTTCCTGAAAGCACTGTATAAGGGTCACAAACCCAAATGCCCACAAGGAACAGTGAGTGACAGAGGCAGCTGTGGACTGTGCCTACCGCAGTCACTATTCAGTGTCAGCTGAGCGGCTGCCATGAGGAAACAGAAGCTCAGTGTCGCCAGATCTGCTTTTTCAAGAGATGCCAAAAAACCTGATTTTTATGCGAAATCTCACTATTTTGAAACATTGGCAACAAATTAAAGAACTCCACAAAATATCACGAAGGCCAAATAAAACAGCGGTGGGCTAGTCTGTCCTATTGGCTACCAGTTTGCAACCTCTCCTCTAGAAGCCTAGACTGACTCTGTTCATCCATTAAAGCCCTGGAGGTGAACTTGACAGACTGACTGGCAGACTTCATACTCCGACTGCAACGAAACCCTAAAACTGGACAGATCCGCTTACATTAGTTCAACAGCCACCAAGCATTAATGGAACTATATGCGTGCTACTTAACATTCCCAAACAACAAATCAAGCCATCCTATTACTCTATCGGTATCGCCTGTGCCCTAGCTCAGGTCTTGATCGTCTCTCACCTGACCTATAAAAAATAGTTTCCAGCCGGGCTCATTGGATCAGCCTGTAATCCCGTGCTTTAGGAGGCTGAGGTGAGTGAACTGCCTGAGCCCGCGGGTTCGAAACCCACCTGGGCAACTTGGAGAGACCTCATCTCTACAATAATTCAAAAAATGAGCTGGGCATGGTAGCACATGCCTGTAGTTCCAGCTACTTGGAAGGCTGAGGCGGAAGGATCGCTGGAGCCCAGCAGGCCAAGGCTGCAGTGGCTGGGAGCTGCCACTGCACTCCAGTCTGGGCGACAGAGTGAGACTCCAACTCAAAAAAAAAAAAAAAAGTTTCCAAAGACTCTTAGGTCTGAGATGACCTGGTAAAGACATCTGGGACCCTCCCTCCTCACAGAAATCACACAAAAAGAAAAACAGAAACACATACTCCATCTTGTCCTAAACCACACTTTCTGATAAAGACTGCCAGATGCAGCAAAGTTAAAACAGAAATACCTGAAGATGTTGAGAAATACACACCTTATTCAAAACAATAGAGGACTGTTTTGCAAAGGAAATGGGCACTCCCAGAAATAAAACTCCTGTATTTGAGTAAATAGGTTGGAGGCAGAAGACACATAATGTCTTCTAGTGACATTAAGATGGATCAGTGGGTTCCAATACTACCAACCTGGCCCATCCTGATATGATCTGAATGTTTGTGTCTCAACATTCATATGTTGAAATCCTAACCTATTAGGAGGTGAGGGTTTTGGGATGTGATTAGGTCAGGAAAGCAGAGTCCTCATTAATGAATTAGTGCCTATATCAAAGAGGCCCAAGAAAGACTCCTCACCCCTTCTATCAGGCAAAAATGCAGCAAGAAGGCACCCTCTACAAATCAGAAGATGGGCCCTTACCAGACACCGAGTCTGCTGGCACCTTGTTCTTGGACTTCACAGTCTCCAGAGTTGGGCAAAATAAATTTCTACTGCTTATAAGTCACTCAGTTTTGTGGTATTTTGTTATAGCAGCCCCAAAGGATTAAGACATGCATTATAAAGTGCCCTGATTAACAACCAATGATAATCACTACCTTTTTCAGTAGATATAGCAAAATCATAATACTCTATCAGGCCTTCTGTATTAATTACTTATATTTTCAAAAAAATGACTTTTTGAAAAGCTTGCCTTCATCAGCTATTTGGTTATTCCATTAATCGGTTAGTAAGAATTATTTCCATATAAATCTTCAGAATAATGAGTTCATACCATAGCAATCTTCAAAAGTGATTACAAGACTATTTGATAAAAATTATGTTTTTTTTAAAGCAAGATTTATTGAGAGGACAGAAAAGTTCCCAGAGTGGGAGGAGACCTGAGACGTTGCCTCTAAAAATCATTGTTAAAGTTATTTTTCCTTTTATTAAAGTGTAATTCATGTAACATAAAATTCAACATTTTAACATATGCTATTCAGTGGTTTTTACTATATTTTCACAAAATGGGAAACTATCACTACTAGCTGAATTCCACAATATTTTCATTACCCCAAAATGAAACCTTGCAGACATTAGTCATCATTCCCCATTCTTCTGAAGTAGGAAAGCACTAATCTACCTTCTGTCTGTGTAAACTTGCCTATTCTGGGCATCTCATATACATGGGATCATGCAATATGTGGCCTTTTATGTCTGGCTTCTTTCACCTAGCATGATGTTCTCAAAGTTTGCCCATGCCATAATATGTATCAATATGTCATTCCTTTGTATGGCTGAATAATATCCCATTATAAGGATATACCATATTTTAAAAAATCTATTCCACCATTTGATGGAGTTGTTTCCATTTTTGGCTATTATGAATAATGATGCTAAACACATTCATGCACAAGTTTTTATATGAACATGTCTTCATTCCTCTTGGGTAAATACCTAGAAGTTGTAAGTCATACAGTAACTGTGTGTTTAACCTTTAGAGGAACTGCCAAAGTGGTGGTACCATATTATATTCTCACCAGCAATGTATAAAGATTCCAATTTCTCCATATCCTCTCCAGTATATTAGTTATTGCCCATCTTTTTTATTTTAGAGGCCATCAAATGGTATCTCATCATTGCATTTCCTTAATAACTAATATTAAGTATCTTTTTTGTGTGCTTAATGGCCATTTGTATATCTTTTTGGAGAATATATTCAAATTCTTTGATCATTTTTAAGTTGGGTAGTCCTTTTATTATTGAGGTGTAATAGTTCCTTATATTCTGGATACTAGACTCTTATCAGATATATGATTTACAAATATTTTCTCCCATTTTGTGGGTTGTCTTACACTTTCTTGACGAAATCCTTTGAAACACATTTTAAATTTTGCTCTCACTTATCTATTTTATCCAATTTTAGTCTAAACTGTCTATTTTTCTTCTTTCATTGCTTGTATCTTAGTATCCTACCTAAGAAACTATTACCTAATCCAAGGTACAAAGATTTAAATTTATGTGCTCTCCTAAAAGTTTTATAGTTTTAGCTCTTACATTTAGGTGTTTAAGACATTTGAGTTATCTGAATATGGTATGAGATAGAGACTGAATGCAC